CCCATCGCCCCCTATGCTTTCCAAATCCGCCATGATTTCCCATTCGTTTGCCCCAACCCGGCTTGCTATCTCCATTTTGCGCTGTGTACTCAGACTGAGCCATTGATTTAACAAATTGCCGTCCAGCATCCCCCTTCCCGCAGTTCCATCACTCTCAACAGCACGGAAAGCGCGAGGATTCAATCCGCAAGGATGCTCAAGAGTGTTGGTCAATTGGGACTGCAGAGCGGACAGTCGACGGTAAGCCTCTTCTGGAATGCAAGTAATGAGGCCAATAGATCCGTTCTGTGATGTTATGAGAGACTGGTAGAGCGGTGCTTGGTGATCCAGATCCATGTCATCCTGTTGAGAAAGTAGCGATTCTGATGAAACCATTGTACGTGGAAGCAGCGTTAGTGTAGAGGCAAAGTTGCCCGTATGAAATTTACTACGACTGAGTAGTCTGTCCCCATTGGAGGACTTGGGGTCTACTTTTGAGTCAGTCAAAGTTCTCACCTATAACGCCAACCACGGTGTTGCCTACCTTCGGGGTCATATTGTAATATGTGAATGTTGCAGTCGCTATCAGCCACGACGAGGAACAGCCTCCTGCCATCAGGAAGGAAGTCTGCGGCTACCACCTCCAAATAGTCCAGGTCTTTGGCAAACAGACTTAACTTATACGGCTCCTCCTAGAAACACATCGGCTTTGTCAGATCGGCGGCGGTATGTCTAGGCATGAGCATTGTTAAACGTACCGAATAGCCAGCGAACCACAGCCCTTTTGTGGCGTCTCCAAGAATGCACATGCCAGTACCTTTCAGCTCTTTGACAACACTGACATAGCATTGCATATCCATGAAAGCCACTGGAAGAAGGCTGCCGTCCTCTTTGAGACCTCTGACCATGCATTTCTGCCCCTGGGAGACAATAATGAAACCCTGACCACCAATTTCAGACAGTGCGGTTACAGCACCCTTTACCAGTTCTTTGCCGATAAGTTTCAACTTGCGGTCCAATGTGGGATTATCAGGGTCCGGAACCACCTTGATCACCTCGAAAACATATATGCAACCGCGCGCTGGTATATCTTCACCGCGCGCAATCGCCGTCCCGACAACTATCATCTCTCTGCGTTCCCGGGTGTTTTCCGAAACCTCGAGACTGATATTCTTCATGGCCATCACATATTCACTAGCATCCAAAGGGTAACTTGGGATTTACAAGGAAATGTCAGAAATTCTCGTGAAATCGTATAGACCTTCCGTTTGGTTCCTCTCACCTGTCAAGAATAGACCATGTCTTCGGGCTGACGATTTTCAGAAAGCTTCCATGCGCTTCAGGCAGGAATGAAACAACTAATGACATTTAGCATACATTCTGAAAATACGCAAAGACAACGAACCTTCGGTGCGCCACTCGGGATGTAATTCGTCGTCTTCGGGCAGTTTAAATTCTGTCTTTTGGCAAGTCCCAAGTACATACATTCCTGACGAGGACGAGTAGGCTAAGTGATCGACTTGTTCACCCAATGGTACCTTCCGCAAAGGCCATTTGTGATCAAATAGCATGCCACGGGGCAATTGGCACAGACGAATAGTGTCCTTCAGCGAGTCAGCGCCTTCGGGGTAGAAAGAGTTGCATCTGCTCAAAGTCTGGGTTGTGAGACTTACATTCGATTCCAGATAGGCGAAACTGCTAGTCGACGCCAGAGGGTTAAGAATGCCCACGCTTCGTGGATAATCCCCTCGTAAGCGTACAAAATGCGGCGAGCTGGTGGATGTCCGCACAATGAAACCAGCCGAAGCCCCGGGCATGAAGACGGTGGAAAGCCCAAAAAAATTGGGAAGGATGCGCAATGGTTGGGCTTTAGATTGACATTTGTCAGCCGCCTCTACGCCCCCGCGAGAAGGTACCTTCGGAAGAACTGTGTTGGCCTCCTTCGAAAATCGCAGGCTAGTTTTCCCATCTCCGGCACCCGTGGAGACGAAAAATGGTTGATATATGTTGATGTCGTCGTTCTGGCACCGCAACTACCAAGAAGGGCGCGTCAGCATGGGAGACGAATTGAGGTGTACACGGAAACATTTGAGCATACAATCAAGTATGGCGAGGCGTTAGCGGAATCCCCAAGGTCGGCAATAATAGCCTCGGTCAACGACTCTCGTGCCCCAGATCGCTTTGGGGCTTCGGATGACAAGATTGGTGGCAGCCCAGCTACTCCTTCAATAATAGTCACCAGGATTTGATCGGGAAGCCGGTACATCTGAGCATAAGGTAAGCAAATGATCGGTGGTGCATACAGCCAGCCAACCAGCTAAAGGATTTGAATACACACGGTGTACCTACATAGAATTTGTGATCCTGGTCCAGGAGGAATAAGTAGAGAACGCCCGGCTTAGTGGAAGCTGAGTCGACAGCAGAGAATGTGCCAGTCTTGTCGTAGTAAAGACTACAGGAGATCCAGCTTTTTACTGCGAACTGCTCGTGTAGAATGACTTCGTCAAGATCCCCACTTTCGTCGGATTGTAGAATTAATAACGTTGAGTCATCCCGAAGAATTGCAAGGCAGGGGTCTGCAAAGCTGGCACTAACGGCCATCCGTTCATCATTGCTGTCATCGTCCCAGATGGGATATATTTGGGTTAAACCCAGATCTATTTCTCATCAGCGCAACCATTCCAGCACTAGATCGGGTCGGGGGCTTACCGCTATCATAGGTTCGAACTTCGTTTTTCAGAACTTGAACTACCCGCTTGTTACCCATCAAGGTGTTGATTTGAATAGTCACATCTTCATTCGGATTGAACTCAGTGGCTTTGAAGGGTTTCAAGACACCGGCATCTTCCAAATAAACAAGAGACTCTTCTTTATCGATGCTTTTCGTCCTAGAAGCGATGACAAAATGACGTGATTGAGGTCGATAGCCGTCTGAAATGCTGGTTGCCGCCTTTGTGCCTTGTATTACAGAAGCTGTCCAGAGACATTCCGCAGCATCAACCTCAACGGAGTGTATCACATCAGGATCAAGTTCGCGACTCAGTACAACCAAACCACCGCCACTATCAGAGCCCTGAGCTGCCACTAGTTCTAAGCTAGCAGAATCATATTCGGAATGATTATATTCCGTTTTCGCAACCACAGAGCGCCTGCCTAGGACAATGTCTCTCACAGGGGCAATGTTGATAAGTCTGTCGAGGAGGCGAAAATAACGTATTCCAGAAGTACGTTCAAGCTTTGTGGAACCACCAGTCGGCGCCAATTTTGGTGATGTGGCATATAAATCGTCTTCGTAAACATCGTTATCACTCTGGTCATCGTCCATGTCCACAGAATCATCCATCGCTTTCGACAATGGCCGAAGCTTTTTCGAGCTTGAGGATGCGAAGGAGTAGCCTAGAAGGATGGAGTCCGAGCCTTCGCTGCCTAAGAAAACCCTACTTTCACCAATAGACGCCGAGGAGGAAGCAGCTGATTTCATAGAAACGACCCCGGCGTGGCTGGGTAAGGGGTGTACTGAAATTCCAGAGACTGACCTGCCATCGAGCCTAAATTTCACGGTGGCGAAGTCTCCTGTGGATAACACCAGCAGCAAATCACCACTGCCATCGTCAAGGGTCTCAAGAACGCAGTTTTCTAGACGCAGAGCCAGGTCTGATTGATCCGACATAGAAAACGCCGAGACCAGTCTGGAAAACTCGTTGACTCCGACCGCGTTGGTCTTGCCAGCCTGATCAACATGCACCAGCTCATTGGACCCAATCAACAAAGCGCCACCAACAGGAGGCGGGAGTGCTACCACTTTGAAGAGATCGCTGGGCAACCTAGATACTGAAAGCAAGGTGGTGGATGCTCGCTGTTCCAGATCGAGAGTAAACACGGAATAGAAGACAATGTCTTTTCTTTCTTGCAGAAGTGCACTAGACGTCGCGACCTGCGAGTACAGTATTCCAAAAGTCGGTTCCCTATATTCGTATAGAAATGCGAAATTTATTGGGTGCAGAATTGTTGGGTCCAGTGCACTCAAAGGTAAGACGAAGGATGGAGCATACGGGGTTTGATATATTGTGGTCTGGTTGGCCTTTTCACGATCGTTATCCCCAAAGCTGTGGCTTTCTGCATTCTGTCCTTCTAAACCTGAGTCATAGTCATCCATCACCAAGTCATCCCCTGGCTGATGAAAAGGAATGATGGCGAAATTTCGGATCCCGAAGTTGAATATCGCACATCTACTGCTTGGGTCCACACTAAGAATGCTGCCACAACTGCTCAAGTCAGGGACCCAGGGGCTACGGGTCAAATCATCCCGCTCATAATAATGAATCGAGATTGTAGAGATACCACGGCGTTCCGGATCCCATTCAATCAAGCTGAGTTTGGCATTGCGAAACGCGATGAGAATGGCCTCTCCTCCGCTTCTTGAGTTCAATATTTTGACCCGACATAGGTTGGTTGCTGTGCCAGCTAAGGGGTACTCCCTCTCCAGAACCAGTTTCGTTGTTTGTTCACTGAGCTCCCCTTCTACTCGTTGTAGACCACAGGGGTTGATTTGCAACGAGAATATTTGGAGTAAAGAGGTCTTCACGACAATGAGATTCGTAGAGGTTTCGGTCAGGAAAGGTAGTGCCAATGCATGAGTGACCCCAGTGGGGGCCAGCAATTCGGTATAGCACTGCATCTGCAATGTTGAGCGAGATCTGCGTTCGTCTTGTTAGTATCAAAAGTCTGGCCGGCCACCCGGCTGCTTTAACTGCCTTGCCGTTTCCTCAACATTGCCTTATATCAAAGGCGAGGCAGAGGAAGAGGGGCAAAGAACAGGTCTGTGACACAACAAAGGGCATACAATAAAAATAGGCGTGAGTCGAACGGAACTTTAACAAAAACACTAGGCTCGGGATGGGATCAATCAGGGTGATAATTCACGTGACGGCTCCATTAGATGATGTAAGACGCCACTGACCGGGCCTAGTCGAGTTATAGCTTTACTAGCCAACCAACTCGGCTCTTTTCGTGACAAGGACGCTTGGCCTACGCTCACATTCAGTTCAGTGGTACTGTATGGAGGACGGGAGTTGCTTGATGTGCTGACTTCTTCACTTCAATTAACTCGAAATCTGCATACATTTCATGTGAGCTACTGGACTATAACAAATGGCTTCTCTGCAAACATCCCTTATTTGGGTCCTTTATACCATTGCGGTAGCCGTTGCGGTCTTGGTAGCCTGGTTCCTCGTCCACATTTATCAAACCCCTCGAGATCGTTCGCGCGCTGTGACCTTAACTTGTATTTTTACCATAACAAGTCTTCTTGCAACTGTTCTCCTACTGCCAGTTGATGTTGCTCTGGTCTCTTCAGCGACGTCATCAAATCTGGGCCAGAGGAAAGGCTGGGCCACTCAGAATGATGTCGACAATTTTCTTCCTTCTTTGACTGTTGTATACTATCTACTCTATTCACTTGATGCCATCCTATGCCTCTTAGTCATCCCGTTTGTTTACTTCTGGTACGAAGAGTATGATGAGGTTGCTACTGAAGCAGGTGAACAATCCTCGGGCCAACGACTCTGGGCTGCCCTCAAATATACTATGTCTTTTGTCGCAATTGTGGCAGTGCTACTTCTGGTCGGCTGTCTTATCCCTATGTCGAACGTCGAGAACGCCACTGAAAATGAACCTCTGGCGGCCTCAATGGTTAAAAATCGTATGCCCCTCGCTTCCTTTTTCAGCCTTGTTGCCCTTTGATTACCTCGAGCCAAGATACTATCCTGATTCAGTCCCCTTGCGAAGCTGAATCTTGACTCACTTATTTATAGGAGGCGAGCGGGCGTTTTTGTTTACAATTGGAGCACTCATGACAATCGGAGTGCCCTTTTATGCCCTGTATACGTCCACAGGCCTTGCTCTTCTCCCTCTGCAGGCAATCAAAGTTTCGTCGGCATCGAAGGATACATGGAAAGCTGCCATGATCGTGCAGCTTGAGTCCAACAGAGAACGCCAACGCCAGTTAGATCGGCGCTGCGGAGGAAATTCTGGACTTTTGTCCTCCAAAGATCGTAGAGAATTGGACACCCTTGTTCGAGAGGAGAGGACGTTAATCCGGCGCCAGCGCCTAGCAGACGAAGCTCACGCGGAGCACCGAGACTGGGTGGTCAAATTGTGGCTGAAAGCCGAGGCTACATGCCGTCCATTGAGAGTATTGGGTGGCGTTGGCTTGTTTCTAATTGCGTTTCTGATATTGATATCCATGTTCGCGACATCTATCGACAAGGTCAGCAACTCGCTCTGCAAACACCGTTGCGGATACCTCCTCAAACACATGCATACGTTCAATCCGGTAGATTGGATCCTGATTCAGTCTGCGAGGATATTTCCCGTCGACTACATCATATTCACGGTACTCACTTTACTTCTCTTCTTCAGCTCAGTATTCGGGATCGCAACAATAGGCATTCGACTCCTCTGGGTGAATGTCTATCAGATCAGAAGAGGCCACACATCTCCGCAAGCTCTTCTGCTGACAACGGTGATCTTGATGCTGACCATCTTAACACTCAACTATTCATTGTCCATGAATGTGGCCTCGCAGTACACATTATTTGGTTCTCAAACGTTTTGTGATCGCCCGCCAAGCCCTGAAGGGCGTCCAGATTGCTCGGATAACACGCAACTCATGAAGCGATGTTCGGACATTGCAGACAATGCAGCTGCAAAGCAATCTTGTACGCCTAGTGTTGCTAGCACATTTGTGAATCATGTGACAACAAAGTTTCCCTTCTTCGGGGTGATACTTTTCTGGTCTCAATTCATGTTCATAGGTACCTAATACCGTCATACTGCCGCATCCCAGCGAGATCCATATCATTGACCTTTAGTGTATTACAGGCTTTTATTTACTCGTTGTTGTCACGTTCATCGTTCGCTCACCACGACAAGACGAGCGCTCACTTAACGAGGAAGCCGAGGAAGCCGAGGAAGCCGAGGAGGAGAATCTCCTAGCGAGCACGGGAAGACGTGATAATGCTGGGTTAGATGACATTATACGAAGGATGGACAGGCAGAATGACAGCAGGAGTGTAGGATAACAATGCTTGTGCATCTCGTTCCAAGCAAGAACTCAGCCCAGTCATCAGAAAGTTGAGCGGCAGTGACACGTATTCGTAACATCATATGGCTCGATTCTCCTGGGTCGCCCACAAAGAGGGCCCACCATTGCTGGGCAATCGGCAACGGAGGAACAGGAGTGTGATCCAATGATCCGGGTTCGATTTTGTGACCATGTGCATGACTAAAGACGGTCATCCAGTAATGCAAGAGCACTTTCAAATGCCTTGACAACATCGGTATCTGAGCCCCTGATCAGCACGGCCTCATTTACAAGAAGGTGTTATCAGGAATATACAATGTCGCTTCTTCTTCTCTAAGCTCTCTCCGGAATTCTGAACGTGATGCATCTGGGTTTTGAATCTATAATCAATAGTCAATATCAGACCTCTTGGAGCCGAGATAGGAAGAAAACCTTTTCAAGGCCCTTGTTTCGTCACACGTAATAGTGGTTTGAGACCATGCCATAAAAATCTATGCAGAAATTAGAACGAAATCATGTGAACACAAAGAACCACGTGAACAACCTCTAGCATTCTGGAGATGTGATTCTTAAGGGCATCTTCTGCTTCTTTGTGTTGCTCCATGACTTTGAGAAATCTATTCTCAAGTTCTTTCCAGTCATATGTATCTAAGTTGCGGATGGGGAAAGGTTCCATTTGCACAGCTTCATGACACTTAATGTGTGAGTAGACCCGCGCCCGCTGACAAGGCATTGTCAACTCCATTCCCGTGCTTAAAGGTTGCATAGAGACTGGTAGTATTGAGTCTAAGCCCACAGCTTCAAACCAAGGTGAGGTGGTTGTAAGAAGGCTAACAAGCGCAGCCGCGCAAAGATGGCAGGTTTGATCAGAAATGAGGTTGGAGGGGAACAAAAGAGGGAAGAAAGGAGAAGCGGTCAACTTCCATTAGGTATACCGACTGACACCAAAAGTTACAATACTTCCACAGAAGTCTCTTTGTGGTCTCACAGGCAGTATTTATGAAGAGAGAGACAGATATACAAGGCTCGCTGTGTACGACCTTTATAGGAGGAAATTGCGGGTGCTCATATAATATCAGCTTTGTTCAGCTATGATATGGCCAGATGGTAATCTTGAGAGAGTACTTATGCAGTAGTAGTACTCCGTACTCCTGTACTCCGTACGTTGTAGTATGTGATAACTTAGGTGCTATTGGCACTGACTGTAATTCTAATACTACCAGAGCTAAACTTTCTATAGTAGGCGGTAGAGCCATTAAGTACTTTATCCTCTGTACTATCAAGTACAGATACATGATAAAATAATTTGATATGGAACTGGCTATTGCCACCTGTCAATATTCTTAAACCACCTGGCTAAGGCCTAAAGGAGAAAGTGCCCGAATACCGCTATATTTCTAATTAAGGGGGAATTTGTTTTTGTATGTAAGATTATATGAGAGTGCGAATGTAGGCCTTTTACCGTCTAAATAAGTAAGCTAGTCAGCCCGGCAGCCCGGCAGTGATATATATACTTTTTTGTTAGATTTGTTAATAAATATATTCTTAGACTCCGTGTCCGTGTTAAAATCTGGGTTGAAATCCGTGTTAAAATCTGTATTAAAATCAGTGTTAAAATCACTGCTGGCTGATATCGGCCATGTTGGCGGTGGTGGCAGAGGTAAGGGCCGGTGGGCAGCCGATATACACAGTAAAGTTCATACAATAGGGCTGATTCTGCTGGTTTTCTATTTAGCCTGCACTTGTATTTGTATATAAGAATCTAATATATCTTCTTAATTAGGAAGATAGGCCACGACCCACCGCCTCCACACCGCGAAACTGTATAATGTTAGCCAGGTGGCTCTGGAATCAAGCGAGGTGGCTTTAACCAGTTCCATTTGATATTGGTATAGACCCTAATAATCCTAACAAAAGAGATAAACCAAGACTCACTAATATACAACCTTACTAGCAATGTCTTCAGCTACTGAAAACCCTAATGATTCCTGAAATATCTCCTAATGTAAGAAGATTCCTACCACAGAGACTTGTGGTTTTAGTACTATGCCAGTGGTATTAGAATTTCAGCTGGTGTCAATAGCCACCATCTTTACAGGTAACTTGAGATTGCTGGTTCCCGATCTTCAGTCTGAGATACTGTACGAAATGAGTGCGGTGATTGGTCTAAGGTTCAACCTAGGATCATGGTTCCAAATTTAATTGACTTCTATCTACTCGTCGCTGCGGCACCCCCCTCCCCCTGCTCTCATAGTTAACTCCATCTCACGGATAACAAAAAACACATACAAATCCTTGTTTTTAAGGGTATATAACTCAGCCAAGATCGAAGATTTAGTCTTTCTATTATAGAATTAGTTCTTTGACTATGAAATCTATATGTAGTTCTTTTTTTAACTTAAAATACTGTAAATTCAAAGAGTTAGGGGAAAAGATGCCTGAATATTTAGATATTTGTAGCATATTACTTATTTCAAAAAGTCTTACTGTAAAAGTCTGTTATTTTGTTATTTATTTTATAGTAGATAGCTACTTCTATTCTCAATTAGAATCTAAAAGCCTAATATCTTAATCCAAGTAAATTATACAACTTTAAAAAAGTAGAATCTGTATGTTCTTGTTTATTATCCATAAGATGGAGTTATTCGTAAGGTGGAGGCGACCAACCTGTGTGCAACGGGTGGGGTGCCGCAGCGATGAGTAGGTAGTTAACATAATCGGACACCGAGCCGGCACAACACCAAGCCGGCGGCCGCCGCGCCGCATCTTACACCCCCAGTAACTTAAAGTTAAAAAACTTATCTAAACTATACTATATTAAAGTATTTTATAATTTTTTTAGTATTTTTTTTATATATTAATATAGCTAATACAGATAAATATTTAAATCTTACTGTTAAGGCCTTTAAAAGTAGAAAGTTTACTATAAAAATCATCTATACTACTGCATTTAATATTAGAATAAATACTTTTAAAAATTATTTAAATAATATTAAACTATATACTAAAAAAATACTAATTATAAAAAGCTATCTACAATTAAAAAAATATACTAAAATAATAGCTTTTTAATATAGTCTACTAAAAACTATTTTTTAAAATTTATAATATTTAATTTTCTGCCCAGCTGCTATATTAAGCAAAATTAAAACTAAATTAATAAAATACTATATTAAAATATTAAATTATTTACTTTATTAAATATTATTTAAAATTAATATCTAAGTTTATATTAAAGTATTATTATTAATATATTAAATATAAGGATTTTTATTTTATTTAGAGATAGTTTAACCTTATTTATAATACAGTCTAAAAATATAGTATTTTTAATAAAAATATATAAAATATAAATAGGACTAGATTTTAAATAAAAGTTGCTTTAACTGCTTATATAATTTATAGCTTAAAAATATAAAAATTATATATTAAATATATACAGTTAAAAAACTATAAATAAATAATTTTAATTATTATAATTTTAGCCTTAGAAACAGTACTGCTATGTTGGCGTTCAAGGGCTCGAAGAAACGATTTCATAGATAGATCCTTGATTGATTCCTTCTACTTCGCTATCTCGACGGCTAACTACATTCCCGCTTGGGCGGTAGAGAATGGCAGAATGACGTTGCGTCAGTCTCGCTCTGGCGAGCTGGGCATGCAACATGCTACTACAGATTATTTTTACAGTATAAAATTATTAACTAATATAGTATAAAATCTATTTAAAATTATATTATTTAAATATTAGTAAAAATAGCTGGACTACTAATAAACTTAGCTTTAACTAGCTTTAAAATATATTTAATAAATATACAGCTTTAAAAATTATTAGTAAATATTATATATTAATTTTTAACAGCTATAGCAGTTATATAATTTAGTAGTTTAATTAATTTTATATAGTATAAAAAATTATTTTTTTATATATATTAGTCTACTTATTATATAAACTGCAGCTGCTTAATATTATATACTTTAGACTATTAAAAAATTATATAGCCAGTATATATTTAAGACTATTTATTATAAAAAGATTAATTACTAAACTTAATTTTTTGCAGCTATATTATAGTATATATATTAAGATCTTTTTTAATATTAATATACTTAGTAGATTTTATACTACCAGTCTTATTTTTTTAAATCTTTAAAAAGTTTTTTTAATACTATAGATTTAATTAAAAATACTAAATTTACTAATATTTTTATATTTTATTTAATTTTTTTATTTTGGAAAAATATCTGTAAATTTGTATAAATTTAAAAGGCAGAAATAAGAACTATAAAAACTGTCACAGTGCAGATCTGATGCACCTGTTCCACCTATTTTACCTGTTTAACCTGTCTAATCTGTTTAACCTGTTTAATCTATTTTATTTTAATAATCTATCTGCTTTTTTTAACTACTTTATATATAATTTATAATTTTTTTAACTATTTATCTACTTTTAATCTTATTTATAGCTTTTTAAACTATATTTTATTTATAAATCTAAAAATAGTCTAACCCAGTAGCTAATAGAAAATCTAAAAAACTAGTTATAAAAAATTATTTAATTAAAAGCTGTTATTTCTATTATTTAGCAAAACTAAGAACTAGATACTAGTCTATTTTTTAATACTATATAGCTTTTATTTTTAAAAATAATAGTTTTAATAAGATACCAGTAATCCTGTAATCTTCAGCTATATTAAATAATTTAAAAAAGTTTATTTAGTATATTAGTAAATCTTTTAAAAAATAGTATAATTACTATAATAAACTATACTAATATATTATAAATACTAAAACTGTATTTACTAATATTTAGTATACTATTACTATAAAAAATATATTATTTATCTATTAAATAAAATAAATTTTTAAAAAAAACTAATTTAAACTATTAGCTTATAAAAATAAATACTGCCTAAAAGATTGCTTTTAAAAAATAAAACTAAATTTAGATTAAATATACTAAAATTATTTAGATTACTACTTTTATAATAAATATTTTAGTATAAATTTTAAAATTTATATCTATTACTAAAAACTCTGTAGCTGCTTTAATAAAAGTAATTATATTAATTATTTTTTAATCTTCCACTTTTACCCTTTTTTTAAATATATATCTAATTTTAATAAGTTTAAAGGTATTTAAAAAGACTTTATCTACTTTATAGCCTAGATTAAAAATAAAATAACTATTAATTTTAATTATTTTTCTACTACTAAATTTTAGATTATTTATATAATTAGCTGCTTTTTAGGTCTTATATACATCTAAATACTTTTTTATATTTAAAATAAAAGCTATTTTATTAAGAACTATATTAATATTTTAAAAATTTTAGAATAAATTTTTAAAAATTTAAATAGTATTTATAATATATATAATAATCTATATTACCTTTATTAAAATAGTAAAAAATTTACTGTTTTTTTTTATTAAATTTTAATATTTAGCTATAAAAGCTAAGATATTTAAAGCTGCCCTATCTACTATACTAAAATAAATATTTAATAAAAAACTAAAAACTATACTATTATACTGTCAGGAACTACTTGACGCAGTAGACACGCTGGTTAGGCAAGGCAAGTAAAATAGCCTAAAAGCAGTCTCCTATTAATTCCAAGACTAATTCTTAAGAAATCTCCTCCTCTAAAGGATTCTAAGACAATATATTATATATGAAGGGAGGGGTAAGCAATATAGTAACACAGGTGCCCGGATTAAAAGCCCGGCGAATCAGTACAGATTTGGAAGCAGACTACTATAGTAGTAGATATGGGTTGCTGTAGCGGGAGATATTATATAACAATTTAAATAATTTTAAAAATCTATAACTATAAAAAAAATATATTTTTTTTAATTATCTGCTTTATTTATTATTTAATTATTTTTAATTTTTTATAGCTAAAAATCTATAATTTTTATACTAGTTGGTTTATATATATAATCTAGTTTATTAGCTAATACTACTAAAATTATTATAATATTTTATTAAAATTTTAGAAAATTAAAATATTATATAATATACTAGTAAAAGCCTATTTTAAAAATATTATATTTTTAAAAGCTTTAATAAAAAATTTATTTATTTAGTTTTATTAGCTGTATATACTGCTTATATATACTATAATTATCTAGTATTTATAATAA